ATTTATATATTAACCATGGTCGTCTCTAGACCACATTAATTTTTTTTTTCAAATGCATGTGGTCGTTGTGCGACCACTTCTACTTAAAAGTTGTATGTTTTTATAATATTATATTTTTTATATTTTTTATATTTTTTTATTAATTCATCAAAATTTATTAATTTCTTAACAAAAATTTATAATATTATTAATTTATCACAATTTATTAATTTGTATTTTAATTTACCAAAATTTTTTATTTAAACTCTATTCATAGGCTATATAAACAAAAATTTATATWTTATTTTYCCTTATAGAATCATCAAGTTATCAATGGTAGTTCAAAATTGGAAATTAATATTATAAATTAGAGAACAATGTTTGAAGTTTGTCAATTTACAGTCTATCAATCTAATCCGTCCCACAATGGGAACGTCGCCGGTTACGATGTGGCTGACGACGAACTATTGGTGCCGCTGGTGTCTCCTGATCCTCTGTAGGGTCTCAATCCTCCGTAGAGTTGAAGTATTGTCCATGCTCTCCACGTCCACGTCCATGGCGCCCTCCACAACCATACTGCAGCGGCAAAGATGCTGTGTGATACTTACTAGAACCAGGAGTCGGTATCATGATCATAGGCGTGGACAGACCAGCATCATTTTGTGTCTGTGTAAACGGTGGAATGTCCTCAACCCTATGATAGATAACTTCACGTCGTCCTCTATGCCTTGGGCCAYGGGCAGGAGTAGACACTTTGTACATTTGATGAAGGYTGTGAAGATGCTTCCCGCCAACGTTGCACAACGTATTAATTTCGTCTAATGAGAGAATGCTCATTTGCTTGAAACACACAGCCTACATGGAAAAAAAATTAATAAATATGTATTTATAATTACTTACGATTATTTAATAAAATAAATAAATTACATAAATATATACTATTTAAACAAATAAATAATATATTAATTAACAATTAAATCTAGCTRCGCACTAATCAAAAGAATAAACTAAGTTTCATTCTAACACAAAATAAATATATGATTTTATAATTGCCTAAATTCATCCAATAAAGAAACGAATTAAAAATATATRTACGAATTAAACAAATAAATTAGATACATTCACCAATTAAATATAGCACAGTATACAAATAAATAAATAAAATTGAATAATAATAATAAAAAAAAGGGAAAAAAAAAACCTTGATCACAAAATTAGATTACGTTAGATAATCTTGAAAAAAGAAACAAACAAAAGAAGAAACAAAAAACGGAAAAAAAAGGGTAGTCGCTCACCGGTGTGGCACGACCGGCGGCGGCAGCGGAAAGACCGAAGGAGGCGGCGAGGCAGAGGGATGAGGCGGCGAAATAAAATAAGGGTTAGGGTTTGGTGGTGGGGTTGGGTGGTGGAGTTGGTGTTTAAAAAAAGGGATGGTTGTCTCTTGACCATCTACATGTGCCAAATGTTGAGACGTGGTCGTCTCTTCAAAAGACTGAGACGACCATCTTACATGGTCAAAGACGACCACTATACATGGTCAGACSACCATGTTAAAATTTTTAAAAAAATTGACATGGCGCCCTGACCGGCCTTCAGTTTTTTAAAACTATAATATTTTTAAAATAAGTTTCAAAACATACAATATTTTTAATATTTTTAATTAAACAACTATATTTTTAAAATAAATTTCATTTACAACAATATTAAAAAAAACCCATGTCTGTCTCTTATAGTTCCATAATACTATTCGAATATCAAATATCAAGAATTAATTAGCACAACTAACTATTTYCTTTTAGTCCCAGCACATAATGATGATTCGATTGTTGCAATCACAATTTTGTTTATTACTAATGTACATTTCAATT